AGTTTCTTTTCATTTTTCTTTTCATTTTCTTTTCATTTTTTCATTTTTTTTATTTTTTGGGATTTTAAATGCAAATTTTTTTGTTTTGTTTACTATGTTTTATTTGTTTTATTCATCAAATGTGAGGGTGATTTGGGATTTCGACATTACTCTTTCGAAAATTGCAAACGTACACCTTCTGGCACATCGAATTCTTCATAGTTTTTTTGTTCTATAAACTGCTCGTTTTCGCAAGAAGACTAGTGCACGAGAAGTAGTGCGTTTACGAGCACAAAATGAAGCTGAAGGCAAATTTACAGCTATAGAAAGAAGAGCTATAGAAATATTCTCCATCTAACGCGTTTGGCACTGATTTCAAACTGTAAACTCATAATATAGTTTACAAGTATTGCTTTTATTTCATAAATTATCTAGATCACAATCCCAAAGTCACCCTAAAATTGATGATTCTGTATATTTATGGAAAAAAATGTATCTATTAAAATTGCTTTGTGTGAAAGAGACGATGAGGCCGGGCGGAGAGACAGGCAAAGTCTGCAATCATATTCATGCAATCATATTTCATTCGTTTGTCTGTCCTTTCAGCCGGTCTAAACGTCCCAATTGATTCGCATTCACCCCCGTTCCCCAATTCTGAATTCTATATAGGCACTCGCTTGTCTCATCCCTTCCCTTCGCTCCTCTTCCCTTTCTTGCTTTTTCCTCATCTTCCCTCGTCTTCCCTCTCTTCGCTTCCCTTCCCTCCTTCCCCAATCCATTCATCCATGCGATTCTTTTCTTTATTTCACAACACTGTATATAGACATGGCTTTTGTGAAATAAAACTTTCAATTTCTCAAAGATAACCGAATACACAGTTACACAAATCTAACAGCAAATGACTGTACTCTACAGAATTCGATGGAATATCGTAAGCCGGTCTAAATGTACACGATTGAGAGAATGTGATCAGATCCAGCTGTGATATCATACCAGATAGTCAAGCTTACAGTAATCTCGATGACTACGGTGGAAAATATTTCGTACTGCAAGGTAGTAACGTCGCGTAACTTGGTTACGGATTACGATAGTGTCTATAGTTATGGTTACTGTAGCATCTACTGGCTGAGTCACCCTTTAGCAAAGTCGATAAAGCAGCTAAGTTTATTACAAGTTGACGATCGGAAAACGTTTTCAAGTTATAAATTAACCGTTATCATTTATATAAATTCTTATGCGAAAGACAAATTCAATTCTTTTTTCTGGAAACCCGCCAATTGCTAAAAATTTGTGGAAAAGAGAAAAAGAAGAGAAAAAGGAGAGAAAGGAGAAAAAGGAGAAAAAGGAGAGAAAAAGCTCACTTGATGATCATTGATTCTCGGAAAGCTTTTTATTTCACAGAAAAAGAAACGGTTGAAGCAAACGGATACGAAGATTTACTTTGGAACATTGTGAGAAATGTATTGATATTTTCCAATGATATACTGAACCCCGAATACTCCACAGGTACCGCGGTCCAAGTTTACACTCAAGCAAATCAATCTCAACACAACACTGTTTCTGGGCGCTTGAGTATCATCATCTTTTAATAATTTTTTTCTAAGCGCTGGTTAATGCTAAAAAGATGTATTATATCTCAAAAAATCACTTATTCTCTCTACCTTAATTTGATACCTAAGCGCATAGAAACACTCTGGAAGCTCTAGATAAGCTTTGAAAGCTCTAGAGGCTCTAGAGGCTCTAGTAGCTATAGAAGCTCTGGAAGCTCTAGAAAATAGAAACTATCAATCAGTAAGGTATTCTTGATTTTTATCGATGTCTTTTTCCCCATCTTCGGCGCGAGTGCCTTAAAAAGTTACTTAATTATTGATCGGAGTTACGATTTAGTTAGCTATCGAATATCGAAAGCTTATCGATATCGATAAGTATCAATAAAGGTTTTAAGCTGCTTAGTCATTACATATTGCTATGTAAAATAGCAATCAAAAGCTGATATTCTTGACTTTCCAATGAAACAATTTTCTAGAACAGTTGCTGTTCTAGAAGCGGAGATCTGAACGGGCAAACATAAGCATGCCATTTCGATAATATCCATAAGTAAGCCTAGACCCAAATCCCTGATTCCATCAATCAAAAATTGAGGATTTTTGGAGCCAAAATAGCCGCTTTTTTGAATTGAGCATGAGTGAATCATGAGTTGGCTTGAATTTCCTTTTCATTATTTATTGCATTATTTTCTTCTCAAATTAAGAAAATGTTTATACCAAGATTTCCAGATCAAGTTCGCTTGACGATTTCGATTTCGAAGCAACCTAAAACGAATTCTTGTAGAAAATGGTGTTTATGAAATCCGAATTAGGTTGTTTACGTGTACTTTTACTTAGCTAGCTCAATCATTAGACCATCTCGAGCCAGCTCAACAATTAGACTATCTCGTAAATCAGCAATAGATTCAGCAATAGATTTAGCAATACAATGAGCATTTAAATCTAATTTAAATTACAACTTTTAGATCCATACCTTTCTGTTGCATTCTTGATGTCCGTTTTGGTGAAGTGTGCCATTTGACGATGACGGACCGGCCTGCATTTTAGAAGTAACAGCAAAGAAATGGGGGAAATTTTGCAAAGAAAGAAGTGGGGAAATTTTCATGTAAAGGTATATCAATAAAGGTACTACTTGGTTATCGAGCCTGTCTTATTTCAACCCCAAATCGGTACTATATTTAGTGAAATGTTAATGCATAAATATTAATGAAATAAATAGCTGTAACAGCTGGCTTTTTCTGAAATTTATCTTCTAATAGTACCTGTTGTAACCAGGAAAGATGTGTTTTTGAACTATTTCTTTCGATACACAATTTTTCTAATCACGCACAAAAGCGCAAAAAAAACAGCGCAAACAAAACAGCGCTTAGGCTGATCGTATTATGTTGTTAAAATAAGCTCTGAATTTTTTCTAAACCGTTTTTGGCCATCGTCCACCATCTTCGCCTAGTTTCTCTTCCTAAAGCCTAAAGGAGGTTTGAAGGAGCTCTTTATTTCGGTATCTCAAAAAGGCCCTTCCTTTCGCCTCTCCCTGCAATTTCTTCTCTTTTCCTCCACGTTTCTCGTGTGTTTACAGGTTTTCCATTGCGTACATTTTTAGCTCCTTGCTTGAATTTTTTAATTAAAGATTTAATTTAGCCAATTCTCACCGCTTCCTTAAAATCTTCCCATTTATTCCTCATTTCTTCTCATTTTCCGAAATTTTGAAGCCAAAGCCTTCAAATAAATTTACTTTCTTGAAAAATTTTCTCTCTTGTTTTTTCTAGTCGCTTCGCTTGAAGCTGGGACTTAACATGGCTATTGGCACTTAAGATGGTTGTATAGTTGATAGTTCCCGGCTTGACCTGTTTTTGAAGTTCCGCTTCTCTCCTAGATTTCCTAATTCGGGTGATCAAGTGGGCGTTTATCAAGGCATTGGTGAAATCTCTATCCTCGGAATTGAGAATCTTGCCAAAAGACAATCCAAGGGAACTATGCGGGTCAAGGACTTGATTGGGGCTTCTCATTCACTTATTTGGGAAAAACCCTGAGGAACGAATCAGTTAGCTAGACTCTCCGATTCATTCCATCCGAACTCCTTTAAGGAGGGGACACGCTTCGCTTTTCGCTTTACCCCTCCAGTCTTCTCCAATTTCTTCTCTAAGTTTCTGCCGTGTTTTCAGATTTGCCTTTTTCCAGCTTTTTCTAGTTTTCTTCCCGCTATCACGAGACCTAATTTGGCCAATTCTCACCACTTCCCTAAGGAATCTTCCCATTTCTTCATCACTTCTTATTTTTCAAAGTTTTGAAAAGCCTTCGAAAAGGCTAATTCGATCAATTGACTTCCTTAACAATTTTCTCTCCTTACTTTCCTTGTTATTTTTGCTTGAATTTAAGAGTTTAATTAGATGGTTTATTGACTTATAAGCCTGATCTTCTTGGCTTGATTTGTCTTTAAATAATCTTTTCGAAAAAAGCGTCCTAGGTTCGAGTCTTGGTATCTCGAGACTCTTCTGATCCTAATATTTTTCAATAGTCAATTCTGACCAGACATTTACTTGAAGATGCCGGTGCTGTGGCCGAAAATTCACTTCCACTTTACTAGCTACAAATGAAATAGAGGAAAGTATTCCAGAAAAAGTTTTAAGATTTAGAATCATATATTATTGGAAAACCCTGTTTTTAAAATAACTTGTGTTTGATCGATCAACTGGAAGTGGAGATAAGTAGAATTGTTGAGGATGGCACCATTCTCTCAAAATGGGGTAACCTTTAAAAAGGTAGGGTGCAACCTTTTAATATCTATTTTGCTGGATGTTTACTTAGTAAGTCTACAAAACCAATAATACATGTTTGATAACAGGCCTTTATTTTAACAAACCTGTATTATAACAGGCCTGTATTACAACAGACCTGTATTATAACAGGCCTGTATTACAACAGACCTGTATGATAACAGACCTGTATTATAAAAGGCATGTATTATAACAGGCCTGTATTACAACAGACCTCTATTATAAAAGGCCTGTATTATAACAGACCTGTATTACAAGAGACCTGTATTATAAAGTTTGTAGTACAACAAACTTTTAAGTTTGCAGTACTGCAAACTTTGTAGTACTGCAAACTTTGTAGTATTGCAAATCTTGTGGTACTGCAAACTTTGTGGTACTGCAAACTTTGTAGTACTACAAACTGAAACGTCAAAGGATCCATTCCCAGTGCCGATAATCCGGATTTCTACCGTGAAAAGAAGGACATTCACAATAGGAGTGAGTCCATTTCCCATTTCATTCATAATTATGAATCAAATCAGAAGGTTTTCAGAGGTTTTTCTAAAACCTGTTAAACGAGTTTTTCAGTTGAATATTAACGACCGAATCAACTAATTAGGGCTTTTGTTGCCTAAATGAGCCTCCAAGTGAGTTAAAATCAAATTTACAAAAAAAAACGCTAAATATTTACTTCGCGTTGTCACGAGCCAAATTTAGAGAGATGAAGCTGAACAAAGGGACGATCCTCAAAGCATCTTGTGACTACATTCGACAATTGCAAAAGGATCGAGATGTAAGTGAAAAGAAAAAACTTTTATGCAAAGAAGAGCTTTCAGAGCATGATTAAACAACAGCAACAACAAAACAAATTGGAAAACGCTGCGAAACACTACGCCGATCGAGTCAGGGTGAGTGAGGGAAATGGCTGGGCTTGGCTTGGCTTGGCTTGGCTTGGATTGGCTTCACCATTCAATTCAATGATTCTTCAGCTACAGTACTGGACAATGAAATATCATATTTGAAAAATGCGTCACTTTCGCGCGTCTGTAACTCCCTTGTTTTTGAGTTTAAACTATTAGTGTTACACATTTTCTGAAAGCTCTTTTCAAGGGCTACACAATGATAATATTAATATTTAGAAATACGGTAAAGACAAGGGAGTTACAGACGCGCGAAAGTGACGATCTTTTTTAAAACATGAGATTTCATTGGCCAGTAGCGTAGATACCCGTTAAACCATTCTACTAAATAAAGATAGATAAAAGATACGCATTCTATGCACTCAATTCTAAGAACTCGAGGACATCTTGGCGAAGAATGGCCTCAACGCGCCCACCAAAGCGCTTCCTCCAGTCCCAGCCATCCCCTCCGCTCCTCGACCAAGCAAACAGGAGATCGAAGAGAGTCGAAATCAAACCCCATGGGATCACTTGTAAGTGATCGCTCAACTCTTCTCTTGTCGAGAAGACTCACAATCAATCGGCTACCGATTGGGTACTAAAAAATCAGCAATTCTTTTCGGAAACTAGTACTAGGACCCCTAAATTTATGTTCTTTATTTTGCTCTTATTCTCTATTTTTTAGTCCTCATCGGGTTTTATGTCACAGCTCTCTGACACGACGGCTGCGATCACCTCCCCACTAGGATGGATCCATTATGGATCCGATCAATTCTTTGGCTCAAGTCCACAAGATTATCAGACTCCACAATGGAGGTGGAGAAGTTATAGGTATATCAAGCAAAACTTTGTCTAATTATATTCTATTGATTGTTTACAGTATTCAGCTAAAGTTAGTGTCAAATAGAAGCAGAAAATGGTCGAATTTGGTTGCAAAGTAGAAGCTACAGTAGCTTATTGTAGAAGTAGAAGCAAAGTAGTAGAAGTAGAAGTAGAAGCAACTCAATACATTCAATATCTTACAGCCCCGACAGTCAAAGGATGCACCACGGGCCATTCCCCGATTTGATCACGGAGTGGTGTCTTGAGGTAGGATTGAGATATAGATAAAACAATATATCATTCTATTTAAATCTAAACCCTAATATCTAAATCCTAAGATCTACATTTAAATATGAAATATCTAATATGCTCTGCATACAGAACAATCCACTCCTCCACTCGGACCCGTTAATGTCACAAGCCGGAGGCCCATCGTCAAACCTTGCCGTCAGCCAGATGAGCCATGGTCTCTCGTGGAATCCCCAAATTTCAGGTACGATGAAGAGAAAATGGAGTATGTTGTATGCAATATAGAAACATGCGATACTTTGCTCCCTAGAAGTCGAAAATCTTGATTAAGCCTTGTTTAGATTATCCTAAGCTACCTGAAGATGAGCACCTACCATTGGCTGTACAGTCAATAGCGTTTAAGTCCAAGGGTACTGTACTGTAGTTAGAAATTCTGTAGCCTTAGAGTACTGTAGTCCGAAACCCTGTAGCCGAATATTTCTTACGCTATGTTTATACAGCATGTTTAGAAGTTGTTTCCAGGGCACTTGGGGGCAAGTGTCAAGCTGTTTAGAAGATATCTGATATTTAAATTCTACCCTATCTGAATTCCTCAATTTTCAGTCCCGACCCGAACACCGTATCGATGCACGCCAATCACAATATGGACTATTCATGAAGAACTCCGCTTGCCAGTTAAACATCCAACAAACGCTTGTACATAAGTGTGTCCAGTTTCATTCAAAGATTTGATACCCATTTTGGCTCCCAATTGTGATTTCGATATAGACACTTTTCTCACATCTTCCCTCTCATTCTCTTCCATTCTCGATCGCGCCGATGCACGCCAATCACAATATGGACTATTCATGAAGAACTCTGCTTGCCATTTAAACATCCAACAAACGCTTGTACAGCAGGTGACCTCTAGAAAGAAAATTAGTGAGAAGAATGAATAAACGTAGGTCTATGCAAAGGTTGACAAAAATTGGATGGAGTCGAACTTCTCCATGTGATAGATTTCAATGATTTGGATATCAATGAAAGCATTCTTTGGTGAATGATAATGTTTTAAATTTGGTTGACTGTTGTTGTAGCAAAATAGTCAAATAAATTAGTATAAAACTTTTAACTACCGTTACCAGTTTTCCCTTTAGCTCAATTTTAGTCTGATTTTTTGAGGCTTGTGATTTGCAGATTGAATTTGACTAAAATTGAGCTGATCAATTGAAAGCTAGCAGTTTGAAGACATTAATTTTCAAAAAAAAGAGGACATCTAGAAAAGAAATTAGTGAGAGAAGACTCTAGCACAAGAAGAAGTACAAGTACAAGCTACGAAGCTGAAGCATGGATAAAAGTAAGTTTATGCAGAGGTTGACAAAGATTGGATGGAGTCGAACTTCTCCAGGGAATAGAATTCAATGATCTGGATACCAATGAAAGCATTCTTTGGTGAATGATAATGTTTTAAATTTGATTGACTGTTTTTGTAGCAAAATAGTCAAATAAATTGGCGTAAAACTTCTAATATACCTGCGTCGATTTTTCAAATACCATCGAGTACCAAGATAATCACCGGATTTCTTTTGTTTTACAAAACTTGTAAACGCTTCTTGGCTTAATCAAATTTGTTTTAGTTGCAAAGAAGAAGTTTTCCTTGTCATTCTGCACTTGTAATTTCTTCTTTTAATTTTTTATTTCAAAACACCAACGATCCCAAAAACATCATAGTGGACGGAAAAGTATAAAAAACCCGCACAGGCTGTGGATTCTTTAGAGAAATTTTAAAACAAAGATGAGATATTTTGAATACCAAGTAAAATTGACAATGTTCTAGAAGAAAATAACAATTTGATTAAAGTGGATTGTAAAATTGGACTAGACGAGGAGTGGGACTTTGTAAGCACTTTGTCTAAGGCAAATTGGAACAAGATGAGAAGACACAGATTGAAATGAATGATGTTGGACTCAAGAATTAGGCTTGAAAGTGAGTAAGCTTAACAAGGAGACCATTTGATTGATGATTTTAAGGAAACAAGTTGGAAATGTGAAGGATTTTGTTTGAATTCGGTTTAGAACTGGCTGTCAATTGGAGCACATCGTCGGGGTTTTCCGTGAATACTGATGTGACGGGATTTGCTCGGTTGATGGGCATCTGTAGAGCGAATCACATGGAATCTCGGGACCTCAGCGCCTAGAAATTGGAGATGAATAAAGTGTAGATGAACTTTGATTATCAACCGATTAACAGCTGGAGTTGCATTAAGTTTGATCAAGTTTATCTTAGCCTTATTGACTATCAATGAGCCGATAAAATGAAGGAATTGGCAAGGAAAAGTTGTTAAAAATCTTCCTTTTCGCAAAGGCATCCGAGACTCGAGAAGAAGCACATTCAGACTCTCGAAAAGGCACCAAAATCCACCATCAAGTTTGGGATTATTTTTTGGCATGACTAAGCACTCCTATTAGGGTGGTGCAAAAGAAACTGCCCGATGGGTATCAGCTCTCATTTATCAGAAACGAGCGATGCTAACGGCATTATTTTTTATGTTTTGTTCGCATATTTTTTTAGCATCTTATACAAACCTAGACCAAAAACCTTGTAAGTGTCCGGGGCCCATTTTTCGTGGAAAATCTTTGACACACTGAAGATTGTTTTTGTTACTTTATATGCTGAACTGTTTCATTTTTAATCGTCTATATTTTAAAGTTAATAAATCTTAAAATATCTCTTATACAAACTCTATAAGATCTTATACAAATAAAATAAACTCTCTTACACAAATTGCTTTTTAAATTTGCTTTAAATTTTAAATTAAAATTGCTCTAAAAACCTTGGATTTTACCTTGTAAAAAGAATAAAGTCAAAATCTACTCGTTTTTCCATTGGATTTTTTTTGCTATTACTAAGCTAATTAAAAATTCGATTTTTAATTAATTTCAATTGTTTTTTGACGTCAGTAATGGAAAGTATAGAAAAAGACAGGTGTTATTTTAAAGCAAAATGTCTGGAATGACTTGTGATAGAAAAAAGGAAAGCTTTCTAATGAGAAAAAGGAAGAGATTATTGCATTGTCACAGATTAAAGTTTGAGTCTAGACTTTGAAATTCCCATTGTATTGGATGGAGGATTGGAGGAAAACAAATGAAAGACCTGGGGATTGTTCGGGTTTTGTTCAAGCTCAGGTTCATTTTTCGTTCGATTAAAGTTAGAGAAATAAAGACGACAAATTAATATGCAAATTATCTAATATAATATATTTTATTAATGCGTTTTATTTCTTTCTGAATAAAGTATTTATATAAATGATTTATTTATAAATGATATTTTTTATAAATGATATAAATTCGCACCGAAAACTAACGAAAAGCCATTTTTCGAAAAAGCCAAGGCCAAACCGATTCTGAAATGAGTGGTCATAGATCTCTATCTCGAAGTGGACTTATATTCTAAATGTCAACTCTTTACAACCTTATCCTTTTCTTCTAGCTTTTGTTCTTAATGCTTGTTCTTAAACCTGTTTCTGTAGTTTTTTCAAAACTTTTCCTCTGATTCTATAAGAAGGACTGCAAAAGTCATTGATTATCTTTAAAGATTTAGATCATCTTTTTTGCATTTTGCTTTTTTTGACCTAGAGCTCCTTTTTTACAAATTTTAGTTAAGTGTGTGTTTTTAAAAACTACCATAATAAACATTTGATTCTTTTCATCGAAAAAATCAAATATTTTCCGAGCTGGTTTTTCTCAAATGGTAAATGTCAAATGGCTAGCATTTCATTGATAAATGGAAAAAAGATCCTTTAAAGATCAGCCCTTTCCTTATTCAACAAGCACGCACCACTTGTTGTCCGATTCCTCCAGACTTGAGGTCGTTGTCCCACTTCGCAAAACATACCAATTTCTTTCTTGGCTCTTCCTCCTGATTGCAAATTCTTTCCATCATTCTTGGCCACGTTCCTCGGGGTCGAGATGCGACTGGTCGAAGCTCGCAAGCACGCTTCGTTGCATAGAAAAGACATCGATGGGAATGTCTTTTACGTCAAAAATGTCAATTTTAATGTGTTTCATTGTTTCATTTGAATTCGAACGATTTTAATGTTTTTCAGCTATCCTTTCAGCTTCAAGCTATCCAAGCAATGTTCTTTAAAGCTTAAACGCAAGCTTTCTGGCACATCTGCACCAAAATAATTCGTTTGACATCAAAAGGAAATGAACTTTTGTTAGAACGTGAAAATCGTGGATATCGTGGAAATTTTTACCCCAAAAACCGGTAATTTAGTTGCCAAGATGAACCGCTGCATTGAACCGCTGAAAATCGTGTGTTCACTTCGGAAAGAATTTGGAAAAAACCCGAACGGGTCATCTGGTTTTACTCGATTTTTGACTCTATTCAATTGAAAGTCCAATTTTGAAAAGCTTTTATTGTTATTGAAAAGCAGTTAATAATAATAATACTTTATTCACGCGAATATTCAATTCACGCGAATTCCTACTAATAGAGTACACAGATCTATTGGGTGAAATGAAAACTGCCGGCTATTGTCATATGTGGCAATTTGAGCACTTTCTTCAAAAGAAACCCATTTTGGTGTCAATGGAAAAGGTGTAGAGAATCAAAAATTAGGCTTAAATCCAGATTTTCAGAATGATTCAAAAACTGGTTTTCAAGAAATGCCAAATCTACGAATTTTCACAAAACTTCCATTTTAAACGAAACTACTAAGTGTATCTTTTTGGAAATTTGGCAATAAGCCTAATTTTTGATTCTCTACAACTTTTCTATTGACACCAAAATGGATTTCTTTTGAAGAAAGTGTGAAAACTGGACATCAGACATCTCCAGTCCTACATTTCTGAGTCTCACACTTCTCTCACACAGAAGCCAAAATCCTACTACGGAAGAGGAATCCGCAAACTGCCTGTGAAATGGGCAGAAGCCGAATGGAAATTATTTCGAATGAATTCATGGTTTTAGGTTGAATAAATTCTAGTTCAAAGTCCGGCAGTTTTCAATTCACCAACCCAATATGTCCGGTACGTAATTACGGAAATTACGTCTATTATTATTAAAAAGTTGTCTGTGATATTAACCTCAGTGCAATAAATTTATTAGAAAAAATTAAAGCTTCTTCATGCGTCGTGGTCCGTTCGAATGTTCACATTTATCGACCGTGTAGAATTGGCTGAAAGAAAAGGTTTTGAAAAGAAAAAAGATTTGATAGAGTACCAAAATCTGGGTGGTAGACAGTTTTTCTTTATCTAACAATGAGG